ATTCGCAGCAGATGTTAGCTCAGGGCTAATCTTCCTCACCAAAAAGAAAAAAAAAAAAAAGACACAAATATCAATGGAACAGAATAGAGAGCCCAGAAATAAACCCATGCATTTATGGTCAATTAATTTTTGACAAGGCAGCCAAGAATATACAATGGAGAAAGGACAGTCCCTTTAATAAATGGTGTTAGGAAAACTGGATATCCACATACAAAAGAATAAAACTGGACCCCTATCTTACACCATACTCAAAAATCAACTCAAAATGAATTAAAGCCTTGAATGTAAGACCTGAAACCATAAGACTCCTAGAAGAAAATGTAGGGCGTAAGCTCTTTGGCATTGATCTTGACAAGGACTTTTTGGATTTGGCAACAAAAGCAAAAATGAACAAGTGGGACTACATCAAACTAAAAGGCTCTGCACAGCAAAGGAAACCATCAACAAAATGAAAAGGCAACCTATGGAATTGGAGAAAATATTTGCAAACCATATGTCTGATAAGGGGTTAATATTCGAAATATACAAGAAATTCCTACAACTCAATAGCAAAAAATCAAATAACTCAGTTAAAAAATAGGCAAAGGGGGTCGGGCCCCATGGCGTAGCGGTTAAGTGCGTGCGCTCCGCTGCTGGCGGCCCGGGTTCGGATCCCGGGCGCGCACCAACGCACCGCTTGTCAGGCCATGCTGTGGCGGCATCCCATATAAAGTGGAGGAAGATGGGCACAGATGTCCAGGGCCAGTCTTCCTCAGCAAAAAAGAGGAGGATTGGCATGGATGTTAGCTCAGGGCTGATCTTCCTCACACACAAAAAACATAATAGGCAATGACCTAAACAGACATTTTTCCAAAGTGACATACAGATGGCCAACAGGTACATAGAAAGGTGCTCAACATCACTAATCATCAGGATGATGCAAATCAAAACCATAGTATCACCTCATCCCTGCTGGGATGTCTATTATCAAAAAGACAAGAGAGAACAAATGCTGGCAAAGATATGGAGAAAAGGGAATCCTTGTATACTGTTAGAAATGCAAACTGGTACAGCCAGTTTGGAAAAAAGTATGGAAGTTCTTCAAGAAATTAAAAATAGAACTGCCATGTGATCCAGCAATCCCGCTTCTGGATATACCGTCATGGGCCACATAGCGACGTTTTGGTCAATGATGGACTACATATATGACGGTGGTTCCATAAGGTTAGTACCATATAGCCCAGGTGTGTAATAGGCTATATCATCTAGGTTTGTGTAAGTACACTCTAGGATAGTCACACAATGACAATACTACCGATAATGCATTTCTCAGAATGTATCCCTGTCATTCAGCAACGTGTGACTGTAGAGCCAAAAGAAATGAAATCATCATCTCAAAAATATTTATGTACTCCCATTTTCATAACAGCATTATTTACAACAGCCAAGGTATGGAAACAAACTAAGTGCCTGTCTATGGATAAATGGATAAAGAAGTTGCAATGCATATACAGTGATATATGTATACACAGTGGAATATTATGTAGCCTTAAAAGAGAAGGAAATCCTGTCATTTGCTACAACATGATGAACCTGGAGGGCATTATGCTAAGTGAAATAAGTCAGAAAAAGACAAATACCACATGGTATCACTTATATGTGGAAGTAAACAAAAAGTTGAACTCAGAAACGGAGTAGAAAAGTAGTTGTCAAGAGCTGAGAGACTGGGGGAAAAAGGATACAAACTTTCAATTATATGATGAATAAGGTCTAATGAAATAAATGTATAACATTGTGACTTCAGTTGATAACACTGCATTGTATAATTGAAATTTGCCAAGAGAGTGGAACTTAAATGTTCTCACACAAAAATGTGTATATGTGAGATGATGAATGTGTTGACAGGATGAGGGGAATCCTTTAGCGATATATATGTATACAAATCATGTTGTACACTTGAAATATCTTGCAATAAATCAATTATACCTCAGTAAAGCTGGAGGGGTGGGGGAGGTGAATGCATAAACAAACTGTCATATCAATAAAATGAAATAGTACTCAGCGATAAAAGGGACCAAACTGGTTTTTTTGCACAATATGGATGAATCTTAAATATATTTTGCCAAGTAAAAGAAAACATTTGTATGCCATTCTGGAAAAGGCAAAAACTATAGGGATGGAAGACAGATCAGTAGTTTCCAGGAATTGGTTGGGGAGAGGAATTGACTAAAAGTGGGCAGCAGGAGTGAATTTTGATGATAATAGGACTGTTCGTTTGGTATTGTGATGGTGGATACATGGTGGTCTGCATTATCTAATCTCATAGAACTGTACGTCACAAGGAGTACATTTTGTGTATGTACATTTTTTAAAAATCAACCAGGATATGGGGAATTGAAGATAGAATTCAGAATATAACAAAGTAATTTGTTTTCCAAATAAATTGTATAACCATTGTGAAGAGGGCGAGGAGAAAGGAGCTGACTTAAGTAACTTTGGAAAACTGCTTTGACTGAATACTATAAGACAGAAAACTATACACAAACACTGTACTCGGGTAGATCAATTTGCTTTTCACTTTGGCAAGGGCAAGGAGTTCTGAAACTAGTTTATGTTTACTAGGGTTGAACAAGTAAATATATTGTAGATAATGCAAGCCAGGTTTCTTACTGTTGAAGAAATACAAATGAGCAACAGGAATGAACGTTGTCATGCTGGCTTGGGTTGGAGATATCAGTATGAGCTCATGGGAAGGGAGGGAGGGAGGGAGGGAGGGAGAGATGGATATACAAATAAATATAGATGTGCATATATACATGGATTAGCATACTCGCATATATCTCCCTAGGTGTCTCAATTGAGAGGACTTAGAGGCAGTGAGCACACCTAGCACCTAGATTGGTTTCTAAATACCATTCTCCAATAAAAAGAACTGACTTCTTGGAGAAAGTGGTTGCTTCCAGGGCTGGGACAAGGAAAATACAAGATGAGCTTGGAGGCATCTTCTTGTAGTACCTGAAAGAAAGGAAGTACTTGAAAAACAAAAAGGAAAATAGGTAAGGCATGTTGAAAGGAGGAAGAAGCCTGCTTGATAGAACTCCCAATGGCCAAGACTGCAAAAATTTGGGCAACAAATTAAATAATGGTAGTGTTTGATCATAACCCAAAGAATAAAATAAATATCCATGTGTCCATACTTACAGAAGAATTTCAATTAGTAATGTAGAAGAAATAAGGGAAATAAAAAATCACCGTTAGATCAAGACAGTAATAATAGTTGTCATAGGCAAGATCCACTGATGAATGCTAAAATTAGTGGTCAGAATTTTAAGGAGAAACAGGATATTTTCATAGTCACAAATTATCTCCACCAAATCATTTACAAAGAAAAATGGTAACTTTACAGTAGAGAAATGTGCCAGATACAACGTTAAGCAAGTGATCAAGGTGAATGTCACTAGTAGTAAAACATGTACCCCCTGACCTGATGCACTGAGAGGGTGCATCACCTATGTATCCTTCCTAAAAATGCATGTCCTCAATCTAATCATGAGAAAACATCAAACAAACCTAAATTGGGGATATTCTACAAAATAACTGACCTGTGCTCTCCAAAGTGTCAAGGTCATGAAGGACAAGGAAAGACTGAGGAACTGTCACTGTCTGGAGGAGACTGAGGAGATGTGACATCCAGCTGCACTGCAGGACCGTGGATGGGATCCTGGAACAGAAAAAAAAAATTAATGAAAAAACTGGTAAAATCTGAATAAAATCTGAAGTTTAATTCACAGTATCGTACTGTTAATTTCTTCTTTTTGAAATTTTTACTATGGTTATATAAGTTGTTAACATTAGGGGAAACTGGGTGATGGGCATATGGGAAATCCATGTACTATCTTTGCAAATCTAAAATTATCTCAAAATAAAATTGAAAATAAAATACAAATGTCTAAGAGTCCAGAGTTATTTTCATATGTCTCACAAGTACTTATCAAATACCAATAGAGAAAAAGGCTATTTTTCTCTGATCATCCAGTAAACACTTCTGATTATTGTTATTTTTGTAGTTCATTTTAAATATGTTTTGATGGTGATTATTTTGGTTGAAATTTTAATTAAAAGATTCAGGAATGAAAAATTAATAAACAGTGAAACCAGAGGTGATTCAGGAAATTAAAACAGGTGAACTAAGACAAATGCTCTTATTGTGGTGCTCTATTTTAAAGCAGTATATCAGAGCTTATTAACTTTCTTCTACTCTTCTCTCCTCTTTATTAATTGAATGTGACCATCCATTTTCTGCCTCCTTCATACTTAATGTACATTATAACCTCAGACTTAAATCTGCTGGAAGGAACAGCAATTCAGAAAAAGGGTGACAATTAGGGGTTTTCTCAATGGCTGATATGGTACCCCACACTTTTATGGCAATTGGGAATGTAGTAGCTATAAGATGCCAAAGTACTGTTCATGGCGCCACCATCCTAACCCATTGGTAGCTTTACCTGAGGGTGGATATTAGAGGTTAACCTGGTTGTTTGGCAGATATAGTTTAGTACTATTCATTGGACTTACTTTATAATTACTTGTATTCTGTATGCTTGGCGCTATGCTAGACAGTGCAGAAATCAAAAATCAAAATCACAGTCTCTGCCAAGGAACCCCACTTGGTTGAAAGAAGACAAACATGAAGGCCCTGTAGTGGGTGGAAAGAGCAGAGGCTTCAGAGATTTTACAATCGTATCCTCACTATCTCTTCCTTTAATTGTTACATCTGTGGACTTGGGTATTTATTTAAACTCTGAGTCTATTTTCTTGTCTGCAATATAGGATACTAATGTCAGTCTTACAAGATTGTCATGGTCATTAATACCTGGCAAATAGGAGACATTTAGTAAATGATTGCTGTTATTATCATAGTTGTTTTTATCAAGACTGATAGACCTTTGGAAAACACTAAATAACTTTATTACACTATATAACTGTTTATTGTGCTCAATCTTTGTACTTTCTCCCTTTAGAGATGATGAAGAGAAAAAAAAATCTCCATCAGAAGGTACTGATGAGAAGGCTAATGGAACACATCCAAAGACCATCAGTCGTATTGGGAGTACTACCAACCCATTCTTGGACATTCCTCACGACCCAAATGCTGCTGTGTACAAAAGTGGATTCTTGGCTCGGAAAATCCATGCAGATATGGATGGAAAAAAGAGTAAGCATCATTTGTTGTCATTTTCTATTTCATTATTTCATCTTTAGGCTCAAAATTTAAAGTGAATTTATCTGAAGTAAGATCAAGGATGAAGAAAAATTTTGTTTATCTAGAGAAGTATTGAAGTTTGATAATGCCTCTAACCCTAAGTCAGAAATCATTGTGGCACCTGATCTTCTCCAAATAAAATTATAGAACTTCAGAAATGGAAGACTTCTGACAGATTATTCATTTCCAGCCTTTTATTCATTTATTTATTTTTGCCTTCAACAAATAATTTTGAGTACCTACTATGTGTTAGGCATCAAAAATATAATAGTGACCAGGATGGACAAAGTCCCTGTCTCCATGGGGTTTACATTTCTGGTGGTTGAGGGAAAGGTTGAATTTATAACACACAGAATAATCAACAGTGTACGGTCCCAGAGACAAAGCAGGAAGGGAAAGAATTGAGATCCAAGCACATTTGGAAGGATTGGCCTTTGCGGAAGATGGACAGGTGCAACGTAGGCGAGTATAATATAATTAGTATTGGGAAATTTAAGGAGTCTCATCTGACAGCTCTGTCAAGTATGAGACATGATTATCTACTGACAGATAATAGTGTTTGAAGTTTGAGAGGAATGAAGTATGTTTCTGTGTTTAGAATAATCTTTGCAGAGAGTGAAATAGCAATTTGATATAGTTGAACAGGCTAAGGTAAGCTGATATATATGCTCAAAATTAGTAGGCCCTAGAGTATCCCTACCCACCTGCAGAGGCAGACATGCGGTGCTGGGATGGACAGCACTGTTTTAATCTGTGGCTGGGCACTTTCTCATAATGTGTTAGCATATTCTATTAGGTTATGGTCAAGAGAAACATTGTAACAGAGTGGCTTCCACACCGACCTGTGATGCTGAGCAAGTTTGTAACATTTCCCAGTTCTTGAGGAGAAGCTCCACCATGCTTCCTGTGCACCTGTGCAGGAGCCTGCTGGGCTTCATTTCCTCAGCATTGTTCAGGACTCTTGCAGTTGAAGGGACAGTAAGTCTAACTAGCTTGGGAAAAAAAGGGCAAGGATACACCTGAAGAGGAAGGGTTGTCACCAGGACACTTGCTCCATTTCTGTCTCTGTATTATTTTGGATGTCAGCTTTATTCTTTGAAACAAGACTCTTTTACATGGCTGCATTTGTAATGATTAGCACTGTAGAGCATGTATTCGATTTTGTCACCAAAAAGGATTTTCCTTCTTCCCCAACTTCCAATTTAGTATGTTCTAGGGCAGGACTCTGATTTGTATGGCTGAGGATGTGGAATTCTGTGATTGACAGCACCCCCTTGTTTGAGGGTGGCAAGAGGAAAGTTGCCTCAAGAAGGAATAAGATACACTTCTCAGAGAAAGGGAGTTCTTCTTGGTAGACAAAGCAATAGATGCTCCTCTCTGTTCCCAGCCCGCACACACACCCTTTCTCCATACACTGGGTTCAAATAATGCCTTTGCCGAGCATAGTACAGTTTTCCATTTATAACCACAGATATACTCATCTCTGTCCCACATGCCATGTCTTGCTGTGGCTCCCATCTCCAAGACTAAAATTTGCTAGTTGATGTCCATTCTCCTCTGGTTGGGATGTAGCCTCACTCAAGAGGCTAAATGAAAAATATAGAAATATCTGACATATGTCATATAAAGTACTAAAAGCAAAAAATAGAATAACTGCAATTTAAAATGCCAGTTCAAGAAAAGGCAAAAAAGGAAACAAAACCGCTGGCACTGACTCAAGAGTAGTTACTGTACCCTCTGGACAAGGATGACAGAGTTAACCTGCTTGAGCGTCTTTTCACTGACTCGCTTCCCTAGCCATGGATTGTCATACTTGGTTAACTTACTCCAAAGCATTGCCAGCTTCAGCCTATTGGTGAAATTTTCTTTGTCCATGTTTTCCTGGCCCACCTCTGAGGATTGTTGGAGAGAATTCCCCTGCTGGAAGCTCCATTCCCTTAACAGCCCACTGCATACGTGTGAGTATGGGTACCAAACCTGGGAGTTGCTTAGCACTTGAGCCATCGCAGACCTCCTGTGCCAGGCTAGTGGTTTTCCTCCCAGTGAAACCCCTTTAAGGCCTTAGTTAACTCCTTTGAGAACTTCTGATTGATTAGGGCAGTTTTAAGCATCACGGACTTTTGTCTCTTTAGCAACTTAAAAGTTCAGCCCTTGCCTCTGCTCCTGATTCTGCTGCTGCCTCAGAACACAAAAATAGATGGAAAAATAGATGGATCGAGTAAGATGGGGGCTAACTGGGCCCAAGTCTCTAGGCTTCATTCCTGTCAGTTGCCTTATCACTGGGGGTTTTTTCACCTCTGCCTTTGAGTATTAGGAGGAGTCTTGAAGTTTCAGCCTTCTTTAATTCCTCAGGCTCTCCCTAGATACACACATTCCAGTTTTTCATGGTTTTTCAAATCACTTTAGTGCGGGCAGATAATTCAACTTTTCTGGTATAGGAAAGTGCATAATTTCTAATGATAATTTACATACACTAAAATTTACCAATTTAAAGTGTATAGTTTGAGTTTTGAAAAATGTATACACTTAAGTAACCACCATCAGAATCAAGATATATAACATTTCCATTACTTGAAAAAGTTGCTTTGTACTTTTTGTAGTTAATTCCTTCCCCCTTTGCTCCCGGCCCATAGCAACCACTCATCTGTCCTTGGACACTGCACTTCTGCCTTTTCTAGAATTTCAATAAATGGAATCATACATATTGTTTTGTGCCTGGCTTCTTTCACTTAGTAGTGTTATTTGCAGATTCATCCATATTGTGATGTGCTGTGTGAATTTGTAGTTTGTCTCCTTTATTGCTGAGTAGTATATTCATTTCCTTGTCTGGGTCTCCCACAGTTCACACATTCACCAGCTGGACATTTGGGTTGTTTCCATTTTTTGGCTATTATAAGTAAACCTGCTTTGGACATTCACACACAAGTCTTTGCATGTACCTATGTTTTCATCTCTTTTCAGAAGTTACCTAAGAGTGAGGGAGTAAGATTGCTAGGGTGTATGTTACATATATCTTTAACTTTATAAGAAACTTCCAAACTGTTTCCCAAAGTGTCTATGCCATTTTGCATTCCTGCCAGCTATGCGTGTTATATCCTCTTGATAAAATGATCCCTTTGTCATGAAATGACCCTCCTCATCCCCGGTCACATTCCTTCTTATGAAGTCTACTTTGCCTAATATTAATAGAATGACTCCAGCTTTCTTTTCAGTTTTTGCATGATAGACGTTTTTTCTAGCTTAATTTTCATCTGTGATCTTGTCTTGAAAATTGTTTTATACAGCATATTGGTGGGTATTCCTTTTTATTCAACTGACAGTCTTTTAATTGGAACGTTTAGACCATTTGCATTTATAGTAATTACTGATATAGTTGACTTTAAGTCTTCCATCTTACTATTTGTTTTTTACTTATTCCATCTTTTATTTTTTCTCTTTTCCTTTCTTGTTTAGGATTTTGTGTGTATGTTGGGGAGGGGAGTGGGATTCTGTCTTTCTTCACTATTGGCATATTAGCTGTGCCTCTTTGTTTAATAATTTTAGTGATTGCTGTAAGGTTTACAGTGTAATCTTTAACTTGTCACAGTCTACCTTCAAATTTTACCACTTCATGTGTAGTTTGAGACCCTTATAACAGGTTACTTCCCTTTCTCTTTTCCTAGCATTTGTGCTAGTGTCATATATTTTAATTGTGTATGTTATAAAACTGATAATACATTGTTACTATTTTTGCTTTAAACAGAAATTTGTTTTTTACTTTTACCCTCATAATGAGCATTTCTGGTGTACTGGGTTTCTTTTTGCAGTTCCAGATTTCCATTTAGTATCATTTTTTTTCTGCTCAAACAGTTTCCTTCCAATATGTCATTTAGTAAACTTCTGCTGGTGAGAAATGAGAAAGAGAATGTTTTATTTATTTAAAAAATCTGTATTACACCTTAATTTTAGGTATTTATGTTTACTGGTGTACAATTTGTTAGCAGTATTTTCTTTTTCTTTCAGTAATTTTAAAATATTGCTCCATTGTTCCCTGCCCTGCATGTTTTCAGACAACAAGTCTGCTGTCATTCTTTGCTCCTTTGTACTTAGCATGGTTCTCCCCACTCTGGCTGCTTTCAGGATTTTTCTCTTTATCTTTGATTTTCAGCAGTTTTGTTTTGAGGTGCTTTAATGTGGTTTTCTTTTTGTTTTCCTTGTCTGGTGTTGATTGAAGTTGTTGGGTTCATCTGTTTATATTTTTCACCACTTTTGGAAATTTTTCAGCCATTATTTCTATGGACCTACCCCTTTCTCTGGGACTCTAGTGTGTCTTGTATGTTAGACCACTTGATACTACATAAAAGGGTCATTGAGGCTCTGTTCAATTTTTTCCCAACTCTGTTCTTGTCCTTTCAGTACTTTATTTTAAAAATTTTTATTGCTATGTCTTCAAGTTTACTATGTTACTTTTAATTTCATATCATTTTTTTCTTTGAAACTGCAACATGAACCTTTTATATCCTCCATTTCTCTTCTTATCAAATTTGTGTTTTTCTTAATATCCTTGAGCATATTTTTCATATTTACTATAGCTATTTTAAGATCCTTCTCTTTGAATCCCTTTCTCTGTCACTTCTGGGGCTATTACATTGATTAATTTTTCTGCTGGCTATAGGTCATACTTTCCTTTTTCTTTGCATTCACAGTAATTCTTATTTGAATGCCAAACATTGTGACATTTTTCAGGGCTGAATTTAGTTGTATTCCTTCAAAGAATGTTGGATTTTATTCTATTGTGCAGATAAGTAACTTGTAGATTAACTGAATCCTTCAGAGGCTTGCCTTCAGATTAACTGAATCCTTCAGAGATTGTAACACAGCATTCCTTTGTTATGGTGGATCCAGAGCAGCCTTTATTCTGGGACTTATTTAGCTCCATTGATAAAGCATCATTACTCTTCTTTAGACTCTAT